AACCCTTAACGCAACCGGGACTTCTCCCATCACTCCCTTGAGATCATCGTAGATTGATCCTGGGACGCATTTGCCGGGGATGAAGAAAGCGTCGACGAGCCTAAGAGTCGTCCCGAAGAGATTAGATCAAAAGCGTCGTAACCAGGAGGGGTTGTCAGGGGTTGGGCGTCGCGGCGTCCTCGCGAGAAGAAGTAGCTTATCGCGACAATAAAAATGGGCATCAACTAAGATTCGGAGTCCCTCCCGGAAAAGGTCGTGTCGTGGTTACGCTATTCAAAATGACTGTAATATGTTCCTAATCTCGGTTATAATTCCCATCAAGATGGATCCTAAAAAGAGGTTAGGCGTCCTCAGGATTGGGTAGGTATAACACGCTATGTATAATAAAATACATGGTTTTCTACGCGTATATTGTTTATACGCGAGCACGAAGTGTATTACGCCCTTTTATTTCTAAATAGAAAATAATAAACTTAGAAGTCTGATATTAAGGTGATGTGAAAGTGGCGTCAGAGGTCTCGTTTATACAAGCTTTTTTCCGAACTGGGTATACCGAATCGTTTCCAACTTTACAACATGAACGTAGCGACTACAAGGAAGATCTTGATACCCATTAAATTTCATTTTTTACGAAAAATATTAAGAATACCTTTGAAGAAATTTTTAAATCATTGAAATTTTATATGTGTCAGGACTTTCCTTAAGGTGATGTGAAAGGGACGTCTGAGAGGTCTCGTTTATGAAACTTTTCTCCAAACTGAGTTTACCGAATCGTTTTAAACTTGACCATGTGAACATGGAGGTCATAAGGAAGGTCCTGACTCTCATGAAATTTCAATCTTTTCAACATTTGTTTATAGAAATCTTCATTGTTTGTTATAAAAAGTGAAATTTCATGAGTATCAGGACCTTCCTTACGACCTCCATGTTCACGTAATAAGGTTTGAAACGATTCGGTACACCCAGTACGTAGAAAAGTTTCATGATTGATATCTCAGATGCCACTTTCACACCCCCTTAAACAGGATTAAGTCGAAAGAATTTCCAACACAAGTGCCAAATTAATTGTTCCTTAAAACTGTTTACTCGTTTACATAGTCGATCGGAAGCCGCGACATAAATTGAGAGATAGGAAAGGAGATTTAGAAACTTCAATTAGGGTATATCTTAGACCTAATCAGATGATTTCTCTTATATGAGCATTTTTTCCGCCGAAGCAACGAATCCGCAACCCTCGGACGGAATGGCGGCGGGGGTGTGGGACCCGATGGGACTTAGCGGGGAATTTGAATGCGGATTTGTCGCGTCTGAAAGCAGACTCGCGAGGACGACGATTAGACAATGCGCCGGGAACGCGGAGGGTGTGCGCCCCGACGCCCTCGACGCCCCCGACGCACAGAGTTCGGAGTTCCCACAGATGCGCTCCCTGGCCGCCCAATTCGCGCCCACCTTCGCGCCCTGATCTCGTTAAGGGCGCAGCGAACCGCGAATACTCGACATCCATTCGAATTTACGCGAGACATCCATCTCTGGTTGGTTTACGACATTAGTCCCCGCCAATTCGAGCGGCTCGATTGATCTGCTCTAATAAAGGTAAAATCATCCGCACAGCATAACAGTTCAATTGCCTACATTTATAGTTTCTTACCAGTGGCATGTGAATTCACTTTCGTCATTTAGGTAACCGGACAATTGGGAAAATAATTCCACACAAATCCTGGATGTGTATTTGTAGGATGGTGTTCAGGACCTGATTATGAACATGGGATAAGAAAGGGGAATAAAGAAAGTCGTTTTCGCCCTTGGTAGAGCTCGTCTGGGCACCTGCGGTTTTGCACCGCCTTAAGACGCGACCTCGGCAGATCCGATGGTCTAAATTTAATTGTCTACATTTGTAGCTGCCTACCAGTTGCATGTGAATGCACTTTCGTCATTTGGGTAACCGGACTATTGGGAAAATAATTGCACACAAATCCTGGATGTGTATTTGTAGCACGGTGTTCAGGATCTGATTATGAAAATGGGATAAGAAAGAGGAATAAAAAAGAAAGTAAACGATCAGTTCCTGTGAAAACGTCAAAATTCAATTGTCCACATTTATAGTTGCTTACCAGTTGCATATCAATGCACTTTCGTCATTGGGTAACCAAACTATTGGGAAAATAATTCCACACAAATCCTGGATGTGTATTTCTAGCATGGTATTCAGGACCTGATTATGAATATGGGATAAGAAAGGGGAATAAAGAATGTCATTGTCACCCTTGGTAGAGCTCGTCTTGGCACCTGCGGTTTCGCACCGCCTTAAGGCGCGACCTCGGCAGATCCGATGGCGCTCCCGTCCACGTGGGCGCCCCTTAATGCGGAAGAGTGAAGTTTGCGCTTCGTGGCGGGATTTGATTTAGAGACACGCCATGGCAATTACGAGTGCACGTTTCAAAAGGCGCCGCAACCCTCGGCCCGGAATCTCCCTCGCGGGGTATAAAAGGTATATCGCGGGGTCGGGCCAGGCTTGGCTTTGTGCGCTCGGCACTCCCGTCGAACCCGGCCGAGATAAGCCGTTATTTATACCCTGGCTTAAGCCCCGGCAGAAAGGGATCCGCCAAAACGTGGAATCGTTTAAAAATCACCAGGATCATTACCTTGGGCGGAGAAATTTTTACGACGCGACCGAAGACACGTATCCCGAAATTCATTCAAATCCACTTAATTCATTCATTAAAGTTAATTTAATGATGCCGTAGGGAAATATATCGGTAGGTTAATGGTTTTAAGAAAACTATGGTTATAACCATACTAATAAGTTTCCCCTATAGGGGAAAAGAACGCGTTTATTAGTTATTTATTATAAAGGCGATGAAGTCGTCGCGGGAATTTTTTTCGCTCTCCATCGGGCATGTATATATTTTCTAGGATGTTTCATTTACTTTCTACGAGATGGGGACTTATTTTCAAATTATTCTGTTTTTCAATCTTTGTCGCGCCTGAATGCGGAGTACACAACTCACGCGAGTACGCCTGGTGGCCGCTACGTGGCGACCGCAACCCGCAAGTGCGGAGTTACCGGGTAAAAGATATAAGACCGTGGTCCATTAGGCGAGATGTGCAGAATACTTTTCATCTATGATTACTTTGGAAAGAAAGAATCCCACCAATAACATGCAGGTAAGATCATAAGAGAAGTTACAATCAAAGACACATCACCAATTAAAATTTGATTGGCATTGCTGGTACAGCGTAGGATCCACATCTGCGAAGCGTAAGTACACAGAACGAGTTTTTCAGAGCAGTATCATCGTTAGGTATCCAGTAAGCCATTAAATAATAGTTGATTTTCTTAAAAAAAAACAGGGCGACCAGTAATTATGTTTTAGATCTAAGAAGATTCGGCAGCCCGGATTCCATTGGTTACTATTTGTATCTGTGTATTTATTACCTTATTTGTATTTGTAATAATGAAATTTCTTCATTATCGAAATACGCAGTCTTTTCCTTCACCCAGACCTTAACCTCGGGAACCTCAACGCTTTGTACAAGCTTCTGTCGCGGAAAGAGAACCGAACGTAAACTTGGGTGCCACCTAACCTATGACGTGATTTGTTGTTAAATTCTAACCAACAACCAAGAATTCCAAGATCAAGATATACATAATGTTACGGTGCGACAAAGTTCGTTACGAGGTTTTCGCAACTGGCGATTCAAAGGGAGTCATCAAATCTCTGAAATGAGAACAGTTTGCTACAAACATCTCATTATAGGGAAGAGCGCAGAAAAGCGTGACCAAGAAGGAATGCAAAAACGTAACAAAACTCATTACGGGATGTTTTTTCATAGTCTTTCTCAAGGGATGTAGCGAATCGAAGATAATCATCGAATCTCTGAAATGAGAACAGATTGCTAGAATCGTTCCATTATAGAGAGGAGTGGCAAAGAAAGAATGCAGAAACGCAACAAAACTCATTACGGGGTGATTTTTCGTAGTCTTCCCAACGGGCGTGGCGAATCGGTGGAGCTCTGGATATCTAAAGGTTCTCCGTTAGCTCGGGGGTGGCGGTGGGGGTGGCGGCGAGGCGGAAGCTTCCGTCTTGGGGGCACCCCCACCCAGAACGGGGGGTGGGTGGCAACCGGCTCGAACTGATCAATACTTGAAACACCGCAAGGTATCGTCCCGTTATTTCCGGTGTCCCCAGGCCGGAAATGAAGGCGTTAAAAATATATAGGCCCCGCCACCCTCGCCCCGTCTCGCCCTGTCTCGCGGTACAACCCGAGAGATAGCGCCCTCCGTATATCGCGAGCATATATCCTTCTGCAGATTCCACCCCTTCTCGCCCTCCTTCACGACTCGAAGTGCTAGAAGCACATCAAGGGATGCACTTCGCTTTTGTTTAAGTTCCACGGAAGTCGCATCACCTCTGCACCTCCAATCTATAGACGTAGGGGATATAGAAGATAACTTTTTGCGGGTATAGAAACGGCCAAAAGCAACATAAGTTGACAGGTCACCGAATTCATTTTCACGATGTACATAATATCGAGCATATAGTGATATAATTCCCTAAGTATTCACAACTAGAGAAAACAAATGGGAGGGATAGTACCTAACTCTGAGTTAATTCAGAATCTACCGAATGCAATGGTTGACTGACTACCGGAAACCTTACAGAGGCACCGGAAGAACCGTCGAAGATCGAATTACGTAAATATGTGTGGAACAAATCGGAATGAGGTAACCCTAGGTTTGGTGTTATCAACAAATTGAGTGATAGAATCATAAGGGCTGGTTAACTATCGGAAATATCACGGTGGTACCAGAAAAAATGCTGAAGTGCAGTGAATCGAGTCGTAGGTAACCAAGCAGGGGGCAGGTTCAAGGTAGGCGTGACCCTGGGTCGGGCCCGCCAGGGAATCTGGGATTTGCGAAATCGCAGAAGGGGTTGGTTAATATCAACAGGTAGAGTCGGTGCTCACCCTCCCGGATAAGCCGGGGGCTAAGCGCCGGCGCTGGTTAAACCACTCGCACCCTCCGAGGGTGTGACCTACCCCCACCGGTGAGGCCGGACAGGCGAAAACCAACCTCCTCAGGTCCGCCTTTCTCCGATTCCCTGGAAACTCGAAATTTGTTATCAGCCGCTTGATAAAAATCCCCTGCCTCCCTTGGAACGCTTTTTCTTTCTCAGTATAGACTTCTTAGGAAAAACTTAGGATAAAGAATTTCCTCTGCAAAGACTTGAGAATTTCGTACTTCACGTTAATTCTAAAGCTTTCCGTAAATCCGGCACGTTTTATAAAGACGATTCTACAAGATTTAAGCGACCTCGTGTCACTTGGCTGCGGTCGTGCTTAAAAGGGGATATTTACTTGCCCTTGTCCGGGAAAAGAGTGGACAGGGGAAAATATCCGCATGGGTCAGCCAAGAGGGGCTTAGACTGGAAGATGGCTGGTCAATATCGGCTTTGGGATACTCGAGGTATTTATCTAATGTCTTATATTTTCCAGAACGTTGCCCAGTCAAATTTCCGTCTCTCCCAGATAAAAAGGTAGACCGGGAAGAAAGCAGACTGTCTTCTAGAAATTCTCCAAAATAATTGTCAGTGTTAGTTAAATTTCGTTAGGCAGAATTTTTGCTTTCCACATTAAAAGGAAAAGTAATTTACATTCGAAATGTAAATACGAATGTGTAATCGGACACTTCATTTATTTCCCTTCGTCAGCCTTTCTGCAGTATCGATTAGAGCCCCTGAAGAACAGCAACCAGGATTGCAGATAAGAATGACACGCCATCATATACATGGAGATATAAAATGACAAGTTGTATTAATTAAATAAAATAAATCCCTGTTGAAATACATTCAATACGCAGTTATTTGACTTTCAGTTTATCCCCATCTACATGTCTCGCGAGCATTTATTCAATTTTCTGTGAAAATTAGTTATATTGCCCCAGTGCACTTAATCTAACTAACCACAAGTAGGACATTGAATGGAGATATTTATTGACTAAATCGCGTACTCGTTGTACTACGATTATTTGAAATTTTAATGGGACCAGTTTCGAGAAAACATACGAAAAGTCTGCCCCTAAAGGGCAGCAACATTAATCACGGGAGTGTAGGGAAGTATATCCTTCACCTGGTGAGACTTATCTTCCAGATAGGGGAACGAGTCGCTTATCACTATCCGTACAAGTCATACACCCGGGACAGTTCATGGAATCACACCGATCAAGTCGGCAGATGCTAGTCGTGCTGGTATTCATTCGAAACAATAAAAAGGAACCAAAGTGCCATCGTTGTCATCGATGCAGTGTTGATTGGCCTCTGGAAGGCCCATTTGTCATGCAATTGAATCCACCCAGGAAAACAGGATCATCTAGCGATCCAATTAATTTAATATGTACCTAAGTGTTGCTAAAAAGAGCTGCCAGAAGAATCGTGTAATGGCTGACCCAATGAAAAGTAGAAGTGTGCAAGTTCCTAGCGGTTCCATTTCCAAAAGGTTCCCTCAATCGAAGGCGGCATTTAGGTGGTGGTTGTTGCTGCCGATAGTGTTTTGGATGCCTGTGGAGGGAATTCCGGCAATTCCAGGGAAAAGTAGCAGCAATTGCCCGCCAAGATGTCTCTGTTACTTGGATCGGGAACCCAGCATCATCGTTTGCTCCATGCAGGGTCTGGATCGGTTCCCAGAGAACGTCAGCAATCTTGTGAGTCGTGACTAGATGGTATGATGAATGATGGTGATTCCAGAAATCCTGGAACATCATTTACTGGTAGCTAATCTATCGTACATACTTAATGTGAAGTACCGAATGTACAGGCTTGAACCCAATGAGTAGTGTCAGAGACAAGTAGACCTTGAGATGGAGTAGCCATCAGCAGATAAGTGTTCCTTCACTGGTTTTGATAGTTCAATGGGGTTTCTAGGTGGAGCATTTGGACCTGTCAGGGAATCAGCTGGACACCTTGTCACAGGATGACCTGAATCGCCTGACAGAGCTGCAGTACCTGAATCTGGCTGATAATCGCCTGAGCGGTCTGCCAGAGAACATCAGTGGTCTGAAGAAGCTTCGCAAGCTGGACATCTCTGGGAATCGGATAAAGGACGTCTATCAGCTGATTTCAATAAGTCAGTTGATCGGACTGAAGATGCTTTACCTATCCAGAAATCCGATTTCAAGTCTGGAAGGCTTAACGAGTGGAAGCCTTCTAGCACTCGACGTCAGACGTTGCGGTAGGGGAACTTATCAACCAAATTTAGCGTTCTAGCCACATTTGGCGGACACAGTCCCTCTTAATTTTCTGCAATCTTGGACTGTGGGTGGAGATCTAGTCCTTTGACGTTTCTACTTCTACAATTCTTGCGTTTGGTCGCCTATAAGTCTGCTCTTCGTTGCAGAAATTGGGGAGGTCAGCGAATCCGCGCTCCTTCGACTCCCATCTCTTGCAGTTCTGAGCCTGGCGGAGAATCCTCTGAGGAGTTTTCAACGACCTGTCTGCAGATCCTTGCAGTGGCTGGACATGTCCGAATGTCTTTTAAACTACTTGACCCCAGACACTTTCGAGGGCCTCCCTAGTCTAGAGGACTTGCGACTTGCCAATAATCCTGCCTTGGTCTACAGCTCGAGGTTTGGGCTCCCCTTAACTATTTAATAGAACTCGGGCTGAAGTGCGTTGCCTACTTGGTTAATTAGAATCGAACAATTAAGACTTAAAACGTGAATTCTAATCTTCGATTGTGGGCTGTGGTTATTTAAACCTTTCGATTTGCAGGTTCGAGACGCTGAGACATCCACACCTTAAGAAATTGGACGTCTCAAGATGTAATTTAGACAGGCCGGGTCTTCACGGTTTGCCATCTTTGACGCAAGTCCAACTTTCCGGGAACTTGATACGAATTTTGCCTGACGGTATATTTCGAAAAAATCCCGAACTGACGAGACTCTCTCTGAATGGAAATGGACTGAGTAGCATAAACGCCAGCACCTTCGCAGGACTGTCGAGGCTGGAATTTTTGGACCTCTCTGAAAACGGACTCGAAGAAATTGCTAACAAAGATACCTTCTCAGGGAACGACCATTTGTTGCACCTCAATTTGTCTTTCAATGCCCTACTCTCTTTTCCAAGTGCGGCGATGTCGGTCAAGTCATTGGACTTGTCATCGAATTGGATACGTGAGCTCAATGGAGAGGCGTTTGCAAACTTGCCAAATATTAAGATTCTGAATTTGAGTGACAATAGACTAGAGGAACTTCCGAAGAACTTGGACTCCGATAGCCTGACCACTTTTTCTCTGGCGAAGAACAGACTAATGCGCATAAACAATGACGCGTTTTCAGACCTCCCGAATCTTCACGAGCTCGACATTTCAGGTAAACGGGAATATCAAAAGGGTATTATTAGATCCTTTCCAACAATCCCAGGTTTATGTATAAAAATATGAAGTTTGAAGTACCACTTCATCGAGGAAGATCTTTTCTGCCGCCATTGTCTTGCTTAAGGTGATATGAAAGTGTGGTATATACATAAAGAAAAGTGAAAATATTGATAAAACTTTTCTCCAAACTGGGTGCACCGAATTGTCTGAAACTTTAACACCTGATTACGGAGGCCCTAGGGAATTTATTACTAAATCCCCAATTTTCTACAATATTAATCGCGTAAGGAAGTGCATTGTCCCGAGTCCGAAATCTTGGTCACATCCAACGCGGTCTGTAAATGTTATTTTATCTCTCCGTATAAAACCGCAAAGAGCACTGTCAAGATTTCGACATCTAAGGCATGTCAATTCTCCTGACTCTTCTTTTATTTCATTTGCAGTGAAAATTAACCATGCCACTCGTTACAGGAAACCGACTTACGGACCCTCTGGACGTGGACGTGTTTCGGTCCAACAAAAACCTAAGTAGGATCCGACTGGACGACAATCCTTGGAGGTGCGATTGCGGGAAGCTTTACGGCATTTACGTGTACTTGACAATGCTACCGGAAAAGACGCCAGCTTCAGGGATGATCTGCCAAAGTCCTGTCAACGTGTCCGGATACTCCTGGGAGAGTGCCTGTCATGGGATGTGGAATGGACCCACCTATGAGAACAAGGAAAGGGTCTGGGGATTCGTGGTTGTCGGTTCGCTAAGTGCTCTCATCCTTTTTGGCAGTACAGTGTCATTAAGACACGCAATTCGGATGAAGAGACAAGCACGAGAAGACAGACGCCAAAGTCAGCTGAGAGAAGCTAGAGAAAGGCTGGGACTCTTGCAGCGACGGTAATCCCGATCACCTCCTTTTGTTTCCCCCCAATGTTCGGATAAATGTCTCCTCCACTGAGATTTGGCCAAGTAGATAACATAAAACTCGAGTGGACCATTGGTTTTTAAGCTGGGGAACTTTGTTAAGTACCTCCAAGTGCGATGGTCATGTCATCAGTCATATCTGATTCGTCATGTGTACCATCAGCCTAACTCTCGCTCTTATATCTGGAGAACATCTTTCGCCTTATCACAAAACCTTACTACAGTTTCTACATTTGTTCATATTTTTCACGTGTACGTGTGTGGATCCCGTGTCCCATTTTCAGGGTTCTTATCATCACGATTCCTTTCCCTATCAGCACTACCAGGGTATGGTCATTCAACTCTTGGTTTTGCTCATCCCTGTTTACTATTTTAGCACCCATTCTTTTTGGTGCACCGGGAGGGACTTCGAGATCATAACCAGTATCATAATCGTAATCAATAATTGCTGGTACTCGGTGTTGTAGAATCCGCAAACTCTAGGAGACCCAGAAAATGAAGTACACACGAGATGTGGATGTCGCGTTCTATCATCCCTTCGTCATGGAGCACCATCCAGCTATCCTAATCCATGGATTCGCTTTTTTACAGGAGTCAAGCCAACGAGGAAAACGAAGCCGCGGAGAGACACGACCCAAGGGTGCATCCTTCCGAATTGACAGGACCACCCACTTACGAGGAAGCTGTCCACATGTCTTACCTAGCTCGTTCATTGAACGCCCTGGATGAGGCATCGGAGGATGAAACATCGATCAGGGTGATGGGATCCGTGGACAACTTGGGCTCGAAGAAGAGAAGGCCTCCAAGAAGACCTAGAAGAAGACGGACTCACAGCGACGAAGATGAGCCCTCTGCTGCTCGGGAGGAGCGAAGAAGTCGCAGACGAAGATACGGCTCGGCAGATGTCCTGCGAACGTCTACTCGAACAAAGGAAAGGACCCCTTGCGAAGCCACAAACAGTGCTGGGCAACGCAACAACAGTATGCAAGAGAGGAGACAGGGTTCTCAAGCTGAGATGCCTCAACCTCGACCTAGAACTCCAGGAGCCAGGAAGAAGAAGCGTTGTGTACATTTGAGGGTGACCAATGGTACCTCCAGTGACGACGAGGACTCCAACAGGAGTCCTGGAGGACCTATGTCGAATTCGGGGACGAACTGTGTCATTCAGCACCTGTCAAGGGAGCCTAGAAGTGGCCGTGGTCCACTCCCATGAGAAGATGGATGATGGGAGGAGATTTGTTGAGCAACAAACGTTTCGTTTTGGGATCATTGGGATGAGTCAACTGCGGTAAAGCTAGGGTTAGGAGATTCAGGTGGAAGTTCCTGCAATTCCTAGAAGGCGTTGAAATCCCCTGAAACCTTCGGTATCAGCTTGAAGGTCCTAGAATACTGGCGCGCAATAAAGTGCCTTATCATCAGTTTTTATTTATACCCACATCAGAGTGTCATCCACATCAAAACTTACCGAAACCACTGGTCGAACCTGGGACCGACGAGGATGTGCCTCTTGGCATTACTCTATCATTACGTTTATTAAAGATTGAGTGTACAAAGGAAATTGTGCCTTTGGTTCCGCTGAACCCAAAGGTGTCGAGTTTGATTCGAAGTGGCCCTCCATCCACCCTAAGAGCGTCTTCGACGGGAATGTTCTGCACAAAGCGTGTTGTATCCCTATTTTTGGAACAACCTGGACACTCGGGACAGAGGGGGTTAGAAAACCGAGTCGCAGCAAGAGCGAAGGAACTTTAAGAACCGGGATCATCCCTAGAACAATCGCACTCCAGTTTCCGCGGAGTCGGTAAAGTTAATCGTATTTCCATGCTTATCTTCATACAAGCGCCATTTTCACGTAACACGTGTCTCGCGCCTAAGTTTCCCTGTAGAAGTAGGCACTAAACATTAACTACTATACCGCGGCCTCCACTAGACCCATGCGTCCGTAGATCTCCTGTAATTTCGCGATTATAGTAGTTAAGAGTCAAGATTAGCAGTGGGACCCAGAGGACCGCCGATAATCAGTCGCCATTATCGGAGGTCCTCAGCGCAAATAAAACATCAGTTTAACTCCTATTACCGCCTAAGATTACAAGGTCCTCCTCATGTTCTATGGTCGGTGGCCCTTTTTCAAACGAGGCAAGCATAAAGAAAGGACAGAGCAATACTGCCCGAATGGTAGAAAATTGCACAAACGGCTCGTCTTTTTCTGGACCCATCCAGAAGACTTGCCCCCCTGGACTCTCCTCACAGCACAATAGACTCCCTCCGAAAACAATCCTCCTGGCACTGATAGAAAGACAGGATTCCTTCTGCCGTAACGCAAAATAAAGACGCATCTCTCCATCGGTACACCATTCGCCGGGAAATATATTTACAAAGAGTTCCGAGTTCCAAGAAAGAATTCACTTAACACACAACAAGCCCTTAACGCGCCTTCTCGACCCACACTGAGAAGAAAGATTCATTAACTCAAAGAAATGTGCATTGCCACAACAAAATCCCGCGATCAAATATGTCCAAAGAGGTGTCAGATAGAGTAAAGCAACTCCTCTTGTCGCGACATCAATTCTACTTGCAGCCGTCTTGCAATGATATATGACTCAGGCAACGACACACATTTGTTTCAGTCAAGTATTCCTATTTCTCGGTGCATATTCACGGTTTATTACCAACTAGCACGGAATGGAAGGTAGGTACTTTCTCTGTGCTTCCATTGTTGATGATGTGCTACACAAAGTGTAGCTGGCTGGCGATACAGGAGTCAGGTGGAAGTACCCTAACTCGTCTTTTGGAGTACGGTCTACCAGCTGATGGACAAGTGACTCCGTCTTGGAAATCGCCGTTACTCTGGACGTATAAAATAAATATTAACGATTAACAATAGCTGCGTCGCTGGATGGTCGGTCTTTGGGGAGAGGAGTTTGGTGTCTCAGCCATGCAACCGCGTGCAGAAGAGGGCGTGCGCACCTCAGGGTTCCCTGCTGATCGATCGAATTCGAGGGACACCTTCTCGCGCAGCTGCAACGATGCGGCAACGACCCAGATCGGTGCACCGAACTTAATGGGACTCGGTGGTCTTCTTCGGCAACGGTTACGACCCAACAACATATCAGACTGCCAGTTAACAACGTGGAGGAACGCCTGATCAACCGAATCCATCACAGCCGCTTCACCACCAGCGAGCTCGGCTCCTTACGGATGATGATCATCGACGGAAGTGTGCGTTCTGGTTCCCTCACCGTTTCTTCTCGCTGAATTCGTTTGATCGCTATCTCAGATGATCTATTCCTAGTGGTGGAAGCTCTAATTCGAGTCTGCTTGCCCTGCATAATTGGGATCGAAGCGAAATCAGAATGTTCCCTATGAGCTCCCATCTTGTAAGCATCTTGTTACGTTCACTGGGTTGTTTGTGAGTTCATGTCCCAATACTGACGGGGGGTATACATGATCTTGTGATTGTTTCTCCGATAAGTTCGTCTAGATAATGACGTAGATTGAGATATGGGACTCATGGTGACTCGGGAGTTGGTCCTTGAACCATGACTGCTGCTGAAGATGCTGGGGGATTAGAAAATGCTGGGCAAGAGGTTCGTCCAAATCTTATGTAGGGACTCAGCACTTGCTGATGATGAATCAACGGAGCATTTCGGCTCCCACTTCATCTCTCGTTATGAGTCTGTGTCTGATCAACGACCGACGTTGATGGGAACTAGACACGATATAGTAAGTTCGTCGATAATGATTACCATCAAGAATGGCCTGTTTCGCAGGATTTAGTAGTCCCTAACGAGCTAAACTCGTCTAAAGGGTAGAGGAGAACCAGCAGTCTGGTTCCTTCACTAGTTTCCCTATCGTGTCGGATCAGTCCGTGTCTTAGGGTGCCATGACTAGATTCTCTCCAGCCTTCGTCCTGGTGATGAGTATAGGCGTCTTCGGTACACTGTCTGGATTCTCCTGAAGGACTATTTTAACTCTATGAGCCCCAGGCGTCAAAGGAGGATCATTCGACGAGTGCACCGGTGTTACTGGCGACACTGATCCAATGTCGGATGCAGATAAATATGGAGAGCTGGCCCTCTTTTCATCAAGCGAGCCTCCATTCGCTGCAACATCCGCCAGATTAACAGCAGGTTCTTCTCTCTGTGCGCTTAGAGATTTTCGAGGAGGTTTGACGGGATCCCCAGAGTCCACGTCGGCGTTCTTTGGGTGTCTCATTACCGGTTCTTCAGACTCTCTCTCCTTGTCGAGGTTAGACTTCACTAGTGGAGCACTCTCAGGGTTCCCATTAGCTGCGATTTTGGGAGGCATCGTGCCGTTACCATCAAGAAGAGCTGTTCTCATGTCCTTCATCTCGGTACCTCCGTTCTCAGGGTCGTTCCTCTTTCGCTTTTTCCTGCAAAAGTCTCCCTTGTACGCCGCAAAACCGATCAGCCCTGCCACTATTGCCAGAAGTGCACCAAGAACCACGTATGATCCCATTCCTTTCTTCGGTTGGTGAGATGGAGCGACGTCGGTCATCTCTTCGTTGCCGATCCTGACGTCAATCTGGTCGGTTCCATGGGGACTCTCGACAAGATTGGCTCTCCTCGTGGACGAGTCCACGATTATGGGTGTAAAGGCTGCCTTAGTAGGCTTAGTCGTTGCTGGGGTCAACTGAGTGACGGACTCTATGGGTGTCGTTGCTTTGGTAGTTCCCAGTTCCTTTTCTGGAGTAACGTGAATGAATTCTTCTTCCGCTAGGTCCAGATCTTTCCCTTCTTCGATGTTGGGAGCTGCAGTGCTCCACAGAGCTCCGAACAGTAAGTCCAAGAGGCTAGTGCTAGTTGTGGTCTTATCACCAGCACCGCTTTCGGGTTCAACGGCCCAGTCGAAGGAACCAGAACCTTCGTTAAACGGACTGGACCCGGAGCCAGAACCAGAGTCAAGATCAGCATCCTCGTCTACACCAAACCATGTTCTTCCTCCGTCGCCTGATCCCTCGATGGGCACGATCAACTCATCCCTGAATCCACCTGGACTTTGGGACTTGGTTTTCGGAATCGTAGCTGTGGTTGTTGTCGTAGTTGTCGTGGGAGAACTTTGCACGGGCGTGGAAGGATTGGCTTCTTCGGACTCGAAGAAAATCTCATCGTCAACAGCAGTCTTCGTCGGTATCTGGTCATTTGTTGTGGTGCTACTCGGCGCAGCTGCGGATGTTGCAATTGTGGCGTCACTGGTTGTGGCTGCAGTTTCAGGAACTGGTGCCAAGGTGCTGGTTGACGGAGCCGGGGTCTCCAGGAGTTCGTCAAACCCCTCTTCCTCGTCGTCCTCTTCGAACTCCTTCGACAACTGGTCAAGGACGTCGCCTGATCCCTGATCTCCAGACCCTTCAGGCTCTACCGCTGGTTGATCGCCCTGCATCTCGTTGTCCTGCTCCTCTAGGGTGCAGATCGCGTGGGTATCTTGTTTAAGAAATGCAGCGCTCTTCAGCTTAGGTGGACTGGCACAAAAGGATCTTTTGGACATCTTGACACCAGCCTCTTGGAGGAGGTCTCTCACTCGCATCGTTGCACAGTTGCAGTCCAAAGGGTTTCCGGAAATCTCAAGGTTGCGCAGGTTTTTTAGGGTGATCAAGACTGGTGGTAGCTGGCTTATCTGGTTCCTTCGAAGGTCCAGACTCTGGAGATTACGGAGACCCGCAAATGTACCCAATTCTAGGTTCTCGATGTTGTTGTCTGCCAGACTTAATGTCTGCAATTTCGAGAGCTTTGCGAAACTCCCTGGCTCGATGTGCTTCAGCTCCCCGTCTGATAGGTCCAGGCTCTTCAGACTTTTCAGTCTGGTAAAGAAACCGGACTTCAGTCTCTTGTCTGCGAACGAAGTCTTCAAGGTCTCCAGGCCGTATGTGTCGATGTACTTTACATCCTGCAGGTCGTGACAGCGTGCAATGGCAGTACTGTTTTCCAAATTGCAGAGGCCGTTTGACAGTTGTATGGGAAAACATTGCAGGGAAAGGAACACCGCCAACGTTGTCACCGCCCATGGCCGGGTAGTCCACATTTTTCGGCCGATTAACCTGCGGAATTGAAATATAATTGTTATTTCATAAACATGCCTTCCTTCAGTTATCTAACCCTAGTTTTTTTCTTTCTAATTTTTAATGCCAGGTTTCTATTTAATGTCGGGTTCAGATGACAACTAATAAGCGTTAACATTTTCTCCACTTCTTTGCACAGCACATTAGTCCCTCGGGATTGAAAAATTAAATATACATTCCTGCACTTTTGCAACTTTTTTTATTTTTTTATTTTTTTAATATAATTAGACACGATTAAGGGGCGACATTTTCGAAGAAATTGTATACTACGATATAATCTTTTTAAAGTAAAAAAGGAAAAGTAGAATGATCCTGATGAATGTTATCAGTGTGATCCCGGATGATAATGTCATTTTAGTTATTAAAGTCAATTTCGATTAAAAGACGCATTTACATGAGAAATGTGTTAAGTATCTATAGATGAATTAACCGTAAGCGAGTAATATTAAATTAAACGTTTCCACTTCAGATTACGAGTTCAATGAATAGGATTTCTGTGTATACTTTTAAAACAATTTCAAATTTACATGTCTGCTGGTTTGGACAATATCGACAAGTTGTTACCGTTGGATGTATCCATAGAGTTACCGAAAGCCGAAGAAGGTACGAATATTGATGGTGGAAAGATAATTTAGTTTCAGGATTTCCTCGCCAGGAAGCGCTTCAATATACATGCATTAGTTATGCTATATCGATGATTCGAAGTCTGAACCCCCAGCGCCATCTCTCGGCAGCGCCGTGAACTCGCAGCGTCTAATGTTTCCACAAGACATATTAATTACAATTCCAAACCCAGAAAAAAGAATAAATACACTTTCATATAATACAAAACATATCAGCGATTGCAAGATCACGTTTTGCCGGTTAAATGAAAAAATGTAGCATCCCAGTTTTTAAACGAAGCCCCATATTAACTGCAAACACATTTAAGCGAGATAACCTCTTACAGCTTTTCGCGTCTTTTCGTCGGAATAGCTCTCCTGAAAAGAAAAATTAATAAAAAAACCGGTCTGTGACGTGATTCGTTAACTAAGTCGCAGAATGTCTATAATTATATCCGTCCGTTGGAGTTTTCCAAGAAAAGCATGTCGCTTGAAGTTTTCATAAAGAGCGTATCGATATGAAAGGAACGCTTAATAATCTCGTTTTAACGAGTGCAATCACTTGCTCTCATTGTCCTGGTTATCGTCATCGACAGATGGCGAAACATCGATTCCTTGCAAAGCCGCAATTCCGCAAGGGCACGATCTACATGAACAAATATGTATGTAGATTTACTCATAGTCTGAATCATAATGCGTTATTACTGCGCTTCGCGAGGAATCGCGCACCGCATTTTGTTCCTTTCTGCACGACGCCATTTAGCGATACAAAAAGCGACGTCATTGATAACACTCGTACACTTGGTCACAAGTATTCTGGACGTTAAGATGATATGAAAGGCGCTGAGAAATTAAATCCACGTCGATAAATTAAAATTCATCTATACCCTTTTTGGTGGAACGTCATTTTTAATACTCAAGTGGGAACATAAGCTGTCGCGTCCTCTTACCGACATTTATATTTATGTTGATGTCTTTTACAGTCCACGTTGATAATTATACGAACTAAAGCGTTGCATGTGTCATTTCAGGAAAGTATTGACGAAGAAATCGACGTAAAACTGTCGAAATCCCGGGAATTCATTATTCTAACGACTGTTTAGGACCAACGTCGCCATCTGTGACGTTTAGCTGCAACTAAATTTTTGCTCTAAGAATAACCGTTAGCCCCGAGACGTTCTCTTGCAACCGTTAGTGAAAGTATTTCCTATATTTTCCCGTCTGACTCTGTAATATTCCATTGCATTTCAAGAAAACTGAAACTTCCTGGTTTTCAGGACCTATTTTAGGGCCTCCATATTTGAAACGAATCGGTACCCCCAATTAGGGGAATACTTTCCCCAACGATTTGACTTCTCAGATACATATAGGCGGACTATTTCATATCATCTTAAAAAGAATAATAAAAAAGAAGACAAGCAGACATCGCGATCTTCCAGTGGTAATCGAAAAAAGCAGCTTCTCTTGCGCGAGGAGAGATCATCGAGGAATGGCGCTCGAAGATAAATATTTGGAGGGCCGATTATATTTGCTCATTAATTTATTTGGCTTTCGCGATTCTGTTATTTTTCCGGAGACTCGTTACGTAGAGGATTTCTGGAGTTTTACCTCGATTTCTTGATATTTATTGTACGAAAACGACAGGTGGAGTATGCCATTTGGTACAATATCCAATATAATTCGACATAGCTGTCAATATAAAAACCAACGTCGGCAACGTAGAAATTTAGAAAAATCTTCTTTATCGGCGTCGATCAAGTTTCTCGACGTGTTTCACTTCACCTTAACCACTGAACCGTATAGAGGTTCATTTAGTGGGTCCAATGTACCCAAAGGCCCATCACCGATAACCGATCATCGATCATCTATCATCGATCATCGATCATCTATCATCTATCATCTATCATCTATCATCTATCATCTATCATCTATCATCTATCATCTATCATGTATCAACGATCAACGATCATCTATCACCGATCATCTATCACCAATCAACGATCAACGATCATCTATCACCGATCCAGAATAGTAGCCAAATATTCGACGCCCAAGGTAGCGTACTAGTTTTAGTTTCTTGGCGATACTCACGTACAAGTTCAGACGGACGGGACTCAGCGGCACCGCGGCTTTGGGCGCATCTGCAACATATCAAGGCACGTTCGTTAGGTTATTCGCACGCCGCCTGGTCGTCGTCGGTTAACGTTAAGCACACTCTCTCGCTCGGTTATCGGGAACGCGGTCGGGGCCGGGGCCACGAGGCGAGGAGGCGCGACTCCGCTTCTTCGCCTCGGACCTCCTTGGTGATAACTCGACCACGGCTCGATCGCGCCATTTTTTTGAGGTTATCCGCGCGTAGGTGATCGTGCAAGGGGATCTATCTGAGGAAAGTCGCTTAGCAGTGCTCGACTGTTAACGCTTAGACTCCCGGAAGCTGATGATTAATCATTATTTAGAAGACAATATACATATGGAGTCATGTTTTTTTAAATTTCGAGTAGATAAACAATTTATCGCGGTTCTAAAGAAACGCGAAAGGAGGAGCGACTCCACTTTTTCGCCTGGAATTTTCTTAAAGATAACTCGACGGCACTATTTTGTTGAGGTTGTTCGGAAGCTGATCATTAATCATTATTTAAAGGACAATATAAATATAGAGTCATGTTTTTTTAAATTTCGAATAAATAAACAATTTATCGCGGTTCTAAAGAAACGCGATAGGAGACGCGACTCCACTTTTTGGATCCGAATTTCTTTAAAGATAACTCGACGGCGCTATTTTGTTGAGGTTATTTGGAAGCTGATCATTAATCATTATTTAAAGGACAATATAAATATAGAGTCATGTTTTTTTAATTTTCGAATAAATAAACAATTTATCGCGGTTCTAGAGAAACGCGATAGGAGACGCGACTCCACTTTTTGGATCCGAATTTCTTTAAAGATAACTCGACGGCGCTATTTTGTTGAGGCTATTCGGAAGCTGATCATTAATCAATATTTAAAGGACAATATAAATATAGAGTCATGTTTTTTAAATTTCGAATAAATAAACAATTTATCGCGGTTCTAAAGAAACGCGAAAAGAGGCGCGACTCCACTTTTTCGCCTCGAATTTCCTTAGAGATAACTCGACTTATGTTGAGGTTATCCGAGCATATGTGATCGTGCACAGAGATTTATTAGAGAAAACGACTGTCGCTTAAGGTGATATGAAAGTGGTGTCAAAAAGGTCTCATTCATGAAACTTTCTTCCGAAGTGGGTGTACCGAATCGTTTCGAACTTCACAATGTGAATATAGTCGCTATAGGGAAGGTCTTAACACCCATGAAATAAATATTTTTAAAATTTCTTTTTAGACATCTTTCAAAGTTGTGAGATCCTAACATGCATGAAATTCTAATTTTTTTTTAATCTTTTTAAAAATTATGAAAAATTAAATTTCATCGGTGTCAGGACCCCTCTTGCGGTCATATTTACGGAGTAAAGTTTAATTCGGTACATCGAGTCCGGAGAAAAGTTTTATAAACAAAACCTCTTCGACGCCACTTTCACATCCCCTTAACAGTGCTCGACTGTTAACGCTTAGTCTCCCGGAAGCTGATTACCAATCATCGTGGGATCAAGCGTTATTTCCACCATGGAACATAGACGTTAATAATTAAATTAACCACATAAATAAGTAATCAGACATTTTCTTAAATTTCTAATAGACAAATAATCTATCACATTTTTCAAGAAAAATGAAGTGAAATTCAATTTCCTCGAGGACGCTTCGGAAGCTCTGCGACCTTATCGCGCCATTTTTGAGGTTATCCACGTGATCGCGTAAAATGATGAATCAAGAAGAACAATTGTCATTTAACAATGCTCGACAGTTAACATTTAGCGCACCGAGGGTCTAACATCCATCATCACGGAAAACAATAATCAATTTGAAATTCCCTCCTTATTTCAAGTGTTAGCTCGAAAAGTTAACATCTTCGTCGGTCGTTACCGAAGGTATTTCTCGACAGAAAGCAGAAACCCTGGTTATGAAATTCCGCCAAGCTGGAAATTCCGATAAAGGGGAAGATCCTCCGGGAGTTTTGCGCCATTTGGCCAATAATTCAGGGATCTATACCCATGGGTGACGTTAACGATCTCGATTTTGCTTTGAAGAGCGCGAGATCGGGACGCGGGGGCGTCGGCCGTGAGATCTTTTTGCGGAAACGCGCATGTAACGGTAACGTGTGGTCGTCCACTAGAAACGCGTCATGTCGTCGCGTGCGGCCGAAGTAACGATTGCCTCGGTCTGGGGGAAAAGAAAAGGCGTCGAAAGTCACTAGGAAAGGCATTCGGGCGACCCGACGTCCGGCACCAAGATGGCCGCCGACGGGGGGCCGATAAGCAGGAATAAAGTAGCCTTGTACTCGCGCCCTTCGTCGAGCATCGAGTCGATTTCTCGGTCGGAAACGACTGCTCGAATCGCTGTAAATCGGAGAACAGGCGAGATATCGATTCCCAGTAATGGAAGGGAGACGGGGGAGACGTCCATGACACGTCCGGGTGCGTCCAAGATGGCGGGCGGAGCCTTGCGGTCAGGGCGCGCCACTTGGAATTTTCAAAGTCGCCTCCTCGGCCGCTCCTTCGAAATCTCGAGACAACCAAAGGAAAGATATTCCATTTCGCGAGTGAACCTTTCGGAATCCCACGCTTGATTTGCAGTTTCTCCGAATTTTCTTTTTTTTTTCAGCCTGCGTTGAGGTACTAACCTCCCGTATTCCGAGGTGCAGGATACGGATATAGTACGCTGCAATTGCGTGGAAGTAAGGAAGCGTGGTTGTAATATCTGGAGATAATAAACCTCACGAAGAATGGTACTATTGGGAGTTTATTTTATAAACTGTACTTGGCGCGAAACTCTACCGAGTTCCCGGATAGCGAGATCCGACGAGGCGTAGCGAACTTCGAGTCGAGTAGTCACTTTGTAAACGTGGTTTTCTTTCTTTTACGGTATTTTTCTTCCTTTTTCTTCGACCGAGGCACTTTTCGCTGTCGGAATGAACTCGCAGGCAGACTCGCGAGCATCGAGCAGACAAGACGAGGAGATAAAAGATGAGCTCCCCGGGGCAGAGGTCACCTGGGCCGCGGGGTATCGTCTCAACGATGAAGAAGACGACGCTCTTCGCGTAGCGAAAACACGATGGAGCCGCGATAGTTACCTCGGCTTCTCCGCAGGAAATCGAGAATTAATTCCCTCCCGCAAAAAGGCCGGAGTCGCGGCTGCACTTTGTCGTGACATTGCAAAACCGCGCGTTTCTTGCGCCATCAACGCCGCCATTACGACACTTCGCAGACCCCAAGTTAATTATTACACGAGCCCTGGACTGCTTGAACCCCGAAAAATGCCCGATAAGTCCTGGAACTTGCGACCGCCCATTCAAATTTGAATTTCCCGCCATACGATGGCGCGGACGAATCCAGCTTCTCCGAGAAGGTGGCTGATGAAGATAGACAGAAAAATACTTGAATAGACATAAATTAGTTGTTTTAACCACGGAATAAGGTTACATGGACAACCAAATGTTTGGTTGACATGACTAAATTCATTGATTGGTAACTTTTGATGCATTGCATGGTATGTTGTGGGAGATCACGTATCTGCAAATTTGAATTTCCCGCCGCACGATGGCACGGACAAATCTAGCTTTTCCGGGAAGGTGGCTAATGAAAATAAGCAGAAAATATTTAAATAGATATAAATTTGTTGCTTTAACCGTTTGGATCGATTAAATGAAATATTGTGGTCGAAACAAACGAATGCGGTCGCGTTAACTAAAATTCTGTTTATTCAATCGAAGCGTTTTCGGAAATTAACTGCAATCGATCAAACAATTTTCTTCAGTGAAAAATATATTTCTTTTGCGTGTACAAAAACACGGCTGATTAGCGGCTGATATCTAATCGATAGGAGCGTCTTTCTACACGTAGCAAAAACTTTTTTGAAAAAATAGCTTGACGCGAGACGCAGCCGGGAATTCGCGGACCTGGAAATTGGACAAATTTCACGGTTCGTTTTCTCTCTTCAAGTGAGAAACGGGAGTCCTGAATTCGTACATTTGTCGAAGAACTGGTTCCTGGAAATCTTGTAATGCGTCATTACTGGAGGACGTGAAAGGCCGAGTGCCGTCTTCGAGGAAGTCTAAAAGTCACGTCGGTAAACGGGAGATCCAAGTTTCTCCATTTTCTGCCCGAAGAAATGTACTCTTGGTCGGTACCTTCTAAATAAATAAAATATCCCGAATTTCGGAAGGGAAGAAACGAAAAAGTGAGACCTACGTCATTTTGCAGAAACTAATCGCTGCACCGAGAAAAAAGATTGACTGAAACAAAAATATATATTGACATATGTGCCCATAATTATGAAAGTGGTCTAAGTCAAAATTGAAAAAAAAATGAGTTTATCAGTTATTTCACGCCACATTATTTCAAACGAAATTAATTCAATGTAATTTCGTTTGAAATAATGTGGCGTGTTCGAAAAAACAAAAAATATATGACTTAGGCCACTTTCATAATTATGGGCACATATATGCGACGTATATGTGACTGAAACAAATATATATTATTGACTAATAATTAATGCTTGAATTATGATTCCAAAAAATAATGTCCTCCATTATCTCGCTGAAGAAATGTACTCTTTGTCGGTACCTTCTAAATAAATAAAATATGGGGAATTTTGGAAAGGAAGAAACGAAAAAGTGAGACTATATCATTTTGCAGAAACTAATCGGTGCACCGAGAAAAAAGATTGATTGACTGATGCAAATATGTAATACAGGAATTCGGTTTATGTCATTCTGCGTTCGTAATCTGTCAAGTAATTTATTTCTAGCAAGGATTCAGGTGGAATTGACCTTTTTAAAAGAAATCCTTCGCGTCATCGGAAAGTCACGGTGAGTCGCATTTGTCAGCTGATGCTCGATTCGTGTCTGACGCACTTTTCGACGTAGAGAAAGTATTCCTGGTAATGGCATTACAAATAACAGACGAATCACCCGGTTACCAAGAAAAGAAAGTGGAATAGCAAGGACATTGAGCGCAGATGATGCACGCAATGATGTTCAATAAAAAAAAAACAGGATACGATGATCT